AAAAGGTGTGACGGTGTTTTGTTGCTATGGTCGTATCGTGTGACGACTGGCTCTCCCTCCGTGTTTGGTTACACATACTTGTAGTTCCTATTATTTTTTTAGATGATAAAAATTGTATCGGCTGTCGTTCTAATGATATCACCTATAACCAGCAACATACTGACAACAAACCAAACCGCGGTCATCATAATAATAATAACACAAACAATCTGCATGATGACCAATACAAACTAAGTTAAAAAAATAGTAATCGGTTGTGATAATTATACGATACACGGGTGTCTGGTCTTGTTCCGGTTTCTATGGTATAATGTACGGAATCGTACTGTTATTCAGTATACTATGATATTAATAAATTGAAAGATAAATCAACCCATATATATTATTGTGGTATGTATGTATGCGTTATCGTGCCCACTACACACTACACACACACACACAACACACTCACAAAGCCACCACTCGAACACCACATATATATTATCTATATATATATATATATATATAATATATATAATATATATATATATATATATGAATACGTTCATTTCATTTTTCTTTTCCTTGTTTCTTCTCGGCGGCAAACATCAAACGGATTTTAACTCCCACAAAAAGGATTTACGGCAACCTTTCAAGGGACGACTTCCTTGAAACGTAAAGGCGACTTTCTCAGTCCTTTTGTATGAAAAACGAGTCTTAAGGACAGAAAGACCAGAAAATGATATAGGGAAAAGATGCGTCGTTTGTGCGAACGAGAAATAAAAGATGGAAAAAGAAAAACAATGAAAAATATTATGATGCAAAAAAACAACAATGACAATGGCAATGATAATGATTAAAAAGAAGTCAGACCTGTTAAATGCAAATTCAGTAAATGAGACAAACATAAACAACAAATAACGGCCACGATTTGTGCATAAAATCCATCCCGTGAACCGCAGAAGAAATAAATAAACATATTGCTTGCATTTGAAATTCTAACCGCCATGGGATAGGCTCCGCCCACTTTTGCGTGTAAACAAACCCGTGAATGGATTTGAACTGAATTTGTGAATGGATGGATGTGTCAATTTGATCGGAAACATAAATCAGAGTTTTATGAATGGATGAGCAAATGGTTATAGCAATATAAATGTGAATTTATGGATATTGGTGAAAGAGATGAACAATATCCATAAACGTGCCATTGAGCAATAGGCTTTTGTACAAATGTATCACGAAATGAACAGATTTATAAAAAAAAAAAAAAAAAAAATCAATAAAGATATTATGATCAACAACCGATATTTCTATAATCGCTTAATTAGGCCTACAACAAATATTCTTAATTCTATTCCTATCACCTTTATTGCTTATCATCTCAATTACCATCATCACTTCTAAAATACTATTCGTAAAATAATAAACATTAAAGAAGGATCGCCATGACCGCTGCTGCCACATCAAGATCACTGTAATCTTCATCAAAACCAAATTTGAGGCCCGTCAACTTAACCTAAAACGTCAACTTGAAATTATCTCGAATTGCCAATTACCACAAACGCAATATTTCCTTCCTCTTTTTTTTTTTTCTTTCTTTTTTCTTTTTTTTTTTTTTTTTTTTTTTTTTTTTATGGAGGATCCAGCAAACAACAAACAGATAGATAAATTGCAGGAATGAATAGATAATGACTTGGTTCTCTCGTCGGTAACCCCCCCCCTCCCGTCTCCCCTCCGCCCCGCCCTCTCCCCACCCCTCCGCACTGACCCTCCCCCCCTCCCCACCTTCCTCCTACACTGTCCGGCGGCGTCATGACAGGTCAGTCGCTCGCTCCGTCGTTCTCGCTTCCGCGGAAGGAGGTCACGAGCGGCCATTTCGGTGCTGGGAGAAGGGAGGGAGGAGGAGGGGCAGGAGAGGAGGCGAAGGGAGGAGACGGAGGAAGGGAGCGAGCTAGAGGGAGGGGGACGGCTCCGGGTGCAGGGGGGAGAAAGGAAGAGTTGGCGATAGAGGCAAGGAGAGGAGGCGAGGAGGAAGTTGCAGGTGGGAAGGAGCGAAGGGACAGGCGAGGTGGAAGGAGGATAGGTTAAGGGAGAGGGTTAGGGAATGAGAGAGGGAGAGAGAAACGGATTGATATTCTTTTTCAGTGCAGGAATACTGGAATGAGGGCGGGGGAACTCTCAACTGGAGGAGGGGCTAAGGGGTATGAGGGGAGAGGAAGAGGGAAAAAATAAGGGGAAGGTTGGATTGCCGGGAGGGGCAAGCAGGAGGCGGAAGAAGAGACTTGTTTGGGGGTGAAACGAAAGAGGGGGGAAAGCGCACGAGGCGTCTGATGGGAATGGTTGGAGGCTACGCTTTCTGCGTGTGGTGGGAGGGAAAGGAAAGGGGACAGAGAACGGGGGCAGAGCGAAGAAATGTGGAAGAGAGGGAGAGCTCGTGAGAAAAGCAGAAGAGACGAAAAAGGAAAAAAGCCGAGCGGACGAGAAGAGGTGGATGGAAGAGAGAGAGACGAAGCGTCTGGGAAGCAAAAAGAAAAGAAGAAAAGAAGTGAGCGAGAAGAGGAGTAAGAGGAGAGAGGAGGGAGCCAAACTGTACATATCAAGTACCCGTCCCCCTCCCCCCCTCCCCCCACCATTCGGAGCAGGCTTTCTCCCCCCCTCTCCCCTCCTCCGACTCCCTTCTTACCACCCACCCCACCCACCCATGAACAAGCCAATCTTCACCCCTACTTTCTGGTTGGAACAATTTACCGGACTCCACACTGCTTGGCAATGTGACCTTTCTCTCGCCCTTTCTGTCTTCTACCCTAACGTCTCTGTCTGTCTGTCTGGATCTGTCTTCTCGTCTTCATGTACGATCTGTCTGTTTTAAGACGTTGTTTTCTGTCTGGTCCTCTCTCTCGTCTCTTCTTCATTCCTGCCCTCTAAAATCTTCATCCTCGGGATTGTGATGATATCATCTCGTATGTGTGTGCAGCATGTCTCGTTTGTGGTGTGTGTGCTGGTGTCTTTGT